TGTGTACGTTGTTGAAGAAGACGATCCTGTCCCTCCACCAAGCATCAAACAAGCACTTGATGCAGCGAAACTATTAAAAAAATACTTTTTATATAATCAAATTGATCCAGCAGTATCTCAAGATATGAGTAAGATACGTAACAAAATACAATTAAAATGTTGGAGCAGCAAAAAACATCAGACGAAGATAACAGACTATAGGCAACGTACGAATAATAATGTTCGTGTGCAAAATGTGTGCTATATTGGCAAATGCATATTGTCGTAGAATAGTAAAATAATATCTTTTATTTCTCTCCATTTAACGGCCACCCTTTATAACGCCGAAAAATGTCCAGTCCCTTAAGTGTCGTTATATACAGTTTACACTGTATATTGTTACTTTATATTTGAGTTTTACCTGCTCTAAATGAGTTATTTTGAGTATTTGTACTAACGATTAGAATAAAACCCAACGATTGTGTACGAATTATTGTCAATTAAAACAATTCTATCCCGTTATTATCTTCATCAACCATTATAACAATCGATAGGTTGCTGGTTTCGCTAGAAGAAAAGAAAGAATTGAAGAACTTGCTAAAAAACTACAAGGAGGTAATGCTAAAGGAAATCTTCATGCGGTCAAAGTGGACATGACCAAAGAAGACGAAATAATCGATGGGTTCAATTGGGTTAAAAAGAATCTTGGACCCATACACGTCCTTGTAAATAATGCAGGGGTTGCAAGATACGGTTCATTAATTGAAAGTGATACACAAAAATGGAAGGACATATTTGACACAAACGTAATTGGATTGAGTATAGCGACAAGAGAAGCTGTTAAAGACATGAGGGCTAACAATGTAGACGGTCATATCATTCACATTAACAGTCTTGTTGGTCATCAGGTGTTAAACTTTCCAGGATCCAATGCTTATCCTGCCAGCAAACATGCTGTCACAGCCCTAAGTGAGACTTTGAGGCACGAATTTATCCAAAACAAATTAAAAATTAAAATAACAGTAAGTTTCAAAATTCTCGTAGTACTCAGTTTTCAAATCTGAAAATTCCCTGCCCCTGAAATTATTGTACCTACCTGAGCTACCATAAATATCCTGTGGGTGTGGTTAATCGTATCTTTTTGCATTAATACACAATTTTTTAGAGTCTGAGTCCAGGATACGTAAAAACAGAATTTCGTGAATCAAGTGGTATCAAAATTAACCCTGACTTGTCGTTCTTCAAGGCAGAAGGTTTAAATCCTGAAGATATAGCGAACGGCGTTTTGTACGTTCTGGGCACTCCTCCTCATGTACAAGTACGTTTTTAAATCCTATTAATTGAGATATAATAAGGTTATTTAATTAATTTTAAACACATTTTTATTTATTGGTTTTGTTTGCTTTATTAAAAGTTTTCTTAACTTTTTAGGTTCAGGAACTATTAATTCGTCCAGTTGGTGATCAG